CCTGTCTACCCTTGTTTAAACCATGTGCTGATTTTTGATTTGGCTTACATTATCATTGTGGTATGTAAATATTTTCCTTTGAAGACGGTTCCTTTTAAATGGCTGAGGAGCACAGAGTTCTTAATAATAATTATGTGAGGGTTTTTAATTCCCTTTAAACCAGTCAATGGCAGATTCAAAGCATGTTTTGTCAGGTTACTGACTACTAGTTCTTTCATCTGGACTGTTTTTATTTAACTTATGTATTTGTTGTGTTAAGTTTTGCAGAAGGTGCTCTTACTGAATTAGTGTATATGTGGGATGCCCTTTTCCTTAAATTAGCAAAATAATTTAGTTTGATCCAGAACGATGTCACAGCCATCCATGGCTGCAAGTCCAAGCTTTCTTTTACCCATCCCTTAGTGTGATGCCAGCTTACATAGGAGCCTGTAAGCTGACATAAAAGAATTGGCAGTTAGTGCTCTCCTCCGAGTATGTTGAGCTGGAAAGATGTGTTTGTGCTTCACATGTCTGTGGGGAAGTGCGTGTTGGCCTTCACCCTCCTAGCTTTGTAGCATTGTGTGAAAGAGGGAGATTTGGCTAGTGGATGGAACTGGCCACAACTAAGTTTGTGAGAAAACACTAAATGTATAACAAAATGATAAAGACATGGTCTTGCACCGTGTATCAAACAAAAGTTGTGTTCTCTGCCAGATGCCTCCAGGCGACATCCATAAAATGATCAGCAGCACGCTAAAAGCACTTCTAGAGGATGGCAACTTGAAATTCCTGAAACATGATCGCCACGGTGATGACCTCTGCCCCACTGCCTGGGAATACATCTTTACTTTGGATCTTCTGTGTGCACATCTGGGATGGAAGTGGACTCATGACAATATTATTGGGTACTGCACGCTGGAGTTCACTCATGTACACCATGTTCTTTATTTTGGTTTTATAGACCCAAGATATTATCTTTACCCATATGTTTTATTTTAATTTATCAGGAAAGAGCTGTGGCCAATCATGAACACATGGGTGTCACAACCAAGACTTCAGCAAACACCAATCCGAGATGTTTGTGTGGCAGCGGTTTTGAGACTTATTGGTATGTTTTTAAAAATTAATTGTAACTGTTTGGTGGAGACTTTTATTGTTACTTTTAAATATGTACTGTTTTTTGTTTATTTTCTGTGTTCATGCTCTTCATGCTCTTCATGCTCTCTACAAATAGGGAGACTTAGTCAGCTGGGTATAAAGGAGAAGCTATGCAAGTCTGTTCAAAATGTAGCAAAAGCAATGAACCTCTTTGCTAAACATGGAATAACAGAAGGTAAGTTCTGAATTCTTGCTTTTCATGAATTTATGAAATAGTACTGCATGTGCAGATTTAATCACCTGGAAGTAACATTCATGAACCCAACGTTTTTGAAGTGTCCACTCTTTTTGTATCAGGTTTCTAAAATGAATGCATTCTCTTTTAACTTCGTCTTGTATGTAGGTGTGCCATGGGAGGTGCAACTATCTGCCGTCTACACCATTTATGACTTGGCACCCATCGACCCCAAAGAAGCCCTGGAGGCCTTGGCATCATGGCGCGGAGAAACCACACAGCCGGTTCCCTCAGGCATTACCAGCTGCATCATGCAGATCGGCTCTCTGTGCCGTCAGATCAGACCATAAACCATCTGTGGATCACAACCTACATACTTCTGTTTGTTTACATTTGCACATTCTTTGGTTTTGCCTCATTTCGATGTTTGAAATCCCCTGGAATAATGTGCCGGTATATTACTGGCTTGCTGCTGCAAGTTAAGTGATCTTGTTTCTAATATCAAAATATATGACTATTTGATAGAGGAAACAAGGTGATGGTTGTTCCTTTGTAAATTATTGTACATTTTGTACCTAAGTATAAAGCTATTGATAAATTTAACATATTAAAACCCGTTTACCTACACTTTTAAAAAAGTGGTCCTTGAGTAAGATGATGCATGTTGAGGTATTCATACAGACTTTAAGAGCACAAAGCACATTCAGCTTTGACAGGGTTCATGACAACACATGCTGCCATGGTTTGTTTTACAAAGGTGGTCAACGATTTTCTCTGTTAACCCAGGTTTAGTTACTCAAGCTGTAACTAAACCTTGAGTAATCTTGAAACATGAGGAGGAATAGAGCGGCTTATTTTTCAAGAAAAAAGCAGTATTTTTCATGTGATTGATTGCCAGTCGTCACGAAGAAACTAAAAAGTGACACCAAAAGGACCAGAGAAAGAGAAGGCACTCCTTGGTCGGAAGATCAGCCCTGATTGGTCCAAGAGTTGCTTATTACCTGAAATCTTACCCTTAAACTTAACCTGCTTTGGACCAAGTTAGGTGTGCTGCAAATATTTGCCATGTTGATGGAGGGAAAGTGATTCACCATCATGAAAATCTATTGTGTTAGATCAAATTAAGCTTAACATTAGCTGGCTAAGCAAGAAATCCTGCTTTGTGAGAACCCTGTAATACAGCTGGACTGGTTAATAATAATAATAATAAGGTTGGTTATAACTATAGTTATATATATATATATATATATATATATATATATATATATATATATATATATATATATATATATATATATATAGTGCCTTTCTCATGCCCAATGTCGCTTTACAGAAGAAAAAAATAACACCCTTGGGCACCCACCAACTATAGGCAGAACTTCCCTTGGTGCAGAATAACATAAGCAAACCAGAGATTCTTTCTAACTAGTGGGTTTGGCTGTTTCAGCCACACTCTTGCTAACAGGTGGCATATAATCAAGCACTAGTCATGCAATTTCTATAAAATTAATTTAGTACTAATGAAATTCAATATCACAATATTTTCCAAACACATCACTGTATCAGACATCTAAGTTTGGCCCAGTTTAAGCTTCCTGGCTGAGGCAGTCAGGCTTTGATTTTATTTGTGCTGGTACTTGATGGAGTCTGTGACTCCCATGTATTTGAACAAACTGTCCAGGGCCTTTTGAAGAAAAACAAACCCACAGCAGATCCACCACCATACTTCACAGTGGGAATGAGGTACTTTTTGCGTGGCTATAGGACATGGTCCCACTGAAAGTTCCAGTAACGTTTGGTGAACAGTAGGCATTTGAGTCTCTTGGTCCCTGACAGCAGAGGCCTCCTACTGGCAACCCCCCAAGAAACAGGTGGTGTTTGTGTTTTGGGAGATGTTCTGACCCCAAGACCGGACTTTTGTGTGCAATTTCCCAAATGTGATCCTTAGAGATTCTTTGTGCACTCAAACCATCCTCCTCAGTATAAATATACGTCCTTTTCCCGGCAGATTTATAACATCCCCCGTTGTTTTAAGCTTCTTAATTATTGCTCTGATAGTGTAAATGGGCATTTTCAACTGCTTACCTATTTTCTTGGAGGCATTTCCTGATTTGTGCAGCTCAACAACCTTTTGTCGCACATCATTGCTGTTTTCTTTGGTCTTTCTCATAGCGATGGATGGAGGGAATTTGGCCTGTGTTTCATCTCATATATATTCCCAAGTGAAAGTGGAAGTCATGGCTGACCATATAAGGGTTCCTAATCACTCAATGCCAACAATCTGCACACAGAGATCAAAACATTTATTTCACACTGTATGTCTCCCAGCATTAAAAGGACCTTTTATATTTCAGCCTTGTAGTGCCCCTGTGGACAAAGCAAGGTGCATAAATGGTTTGGTGAGGAACAGTGGCCTGCACAGAGCTCTGACCTTGAGTAAAAGTATAGAAGTACTAAAAGGCCTACAAGTGCAAATACTCATGGTAAAATTACTTGAGAAAAAGTAGACGACATGTAGCTACATATGAAGTTGACATTCATGTCTGTGGTCATGTATGTCTGCTCAGTACTGCTTGCAGTAACTCACAGGACATTCACCTTTGTGAAGTATATTTAAAAGCAAGTACTTTTGTACTTTTACTTTTAACAAGTGGCCTTTTTTGCAGACTTAGACATACACAAAATAGACTTTGACATGCTATTGTGGAGGCCAAAATGAGCTTCGTGCACTGTGATATTGATAAAAACAGCTTACATTTTCTAGAAATTATTAAAAAATAAAATCTTTCTTGGGCCCCTCATATAGATACTGACAAAACTACATCCACACAAAGATTTTCTTAATAACCACCCCAGTTGGATACACCCATGAATCACAGAAAGATCTAACCAGTTAGCTCCCATCAACAGCACATAGACAGTTCTTATAGATGAACCATGTCATCCATGGAAGCTGCAATGTGATATATTCATTATTTATCGTGTACGTCTAACATAAACATTTCGGTTAACATTAGATACTAGTGGGTGGAGCATGACTTTTCGGAGGAAACAAGTATTGTAAATGAGATCTCCCCTTAATCCCGTGTTCTTCTAAACATTGTCCTGTCTGACATCAGAGTGAGACTGAGCCATTTTCTCCTGTTTATGAAATTTGGTTTTAGGGGGACGAATGCAGAAATAAGTGATCCTTCATTAAAACATTATTGAGATCTGCTTTATTTATAAGTATTTATAATATTGATTATCACATATGCACACATCTGCACTTTACATACATCTATCCCTGTACTTGATTCTATAAATCCCTATATTTTTATATTTTGTATTCCTCTTCCCATTTCATTTATATTCTGTCTATATTTTTTTCTGTTGTATATTCGGTTTTTATGGCAACGGACAGCTATAGTGTGTGTGGCTGTGTGACCAATAAAGCTTGATTTGATTTGATTTCTTTGAGACAATCTTAAGAAAGACGTCTTCTCCTCTAGTTTGGAGCAAGGCTAAATTACAGTCTTTTTTGCATTCGTTGATAGTTTTCTTTATAAACAGTGTTTCTGGTGGGCGTTCCTTTTTTGAACTGGGGCCTAGTTATGTAGGTACGCCACTGCACAAGCCTGTTGGGGATCACTGGAAGATCGATTATGAGAGGAAAACATTAGATTCCTAACAGCACTGTGAAAACACAACTTAAAACGTTTATAAATGAGGCTTTCACACCATAAATGAAGGTCTGTAGGGTGAGTCCTCCCTCAGATCTGCACAGTTTGATGACCAGTTTGTGGAGATCGAGGGTCGGTCTTTTCCGCCGGGCTGGGTCCTCCGACTGTCTGTATGGGTAGGTCTCAGCGTTGTGGGTGTGTTCGAGAAAGAGTTTAAAAATCCCACACATGCGCACAACGGGCTCCAGACCCCCCCTCTTTCTCACATTCACACACACAGAGAAACACACACTCGCACACACTCACTCTTACACACTCTTCTTGCGCCATATTGGACTGCTAACAGAGCGGAGCCGTTCAGCGCTGTAACCCGCTAGCACAACTCGGCTAGCGGCTAGTCCGGACTCTTAGCCCCGCTTCTGCTGGGCGCTTTTTAAACCTCTTCGCGGTTCCTGAAACTCCCCCAGGCGTCGGTTTTTATCCCCCACAGGCGAGTGTTTTTCCCGTGTCTGGGTCGTTCTGTGTGTGTGTGTTTTCTTCTCTCTTTCGGAGCCGTTCGCTCGGATGGACCCGAGGCTCACCTGGATCCAGCCCGAGCAGAAGGGACCTGCTAACGCTCTGTGGATGCGGGTGTGGGAAACCTCGCAGGGTTTACGGACCGGCACCGGGACGAACCGGGCCAGCTCCCCCACCATGGCGTCTAGTTTTCCGAAGAACAGCCCCGCCGTGGTTCCGCCGGTACCGGGCTATTCCGGCCACCATCACCTCGCTAACGGCAGCGCCGTCTCCTCCGGTTTCTGCCCGCCGGTTGACTCCTGCGGTATGATCGAGCTGGCCAACGGCGCGATAAAAGCTCCCCAAAAGGACGGCTCTCTGTCCCCGACCGAGTCCGCCGACTCGGAAACGGACAGTCCCAAGTCGGACTCTTCTGGAACTTGGGCCAAACTTCATTTCAACTTCGTCGAGCATTTGCACAACATTAACAACTACCTGCACCACCGTCGCCACCACCAACAGCAGCAGCTCCATCCCCACACTACTCTCCAGCCACACTTACACCGGCACTTCCCCTCGAAAGACCTCCAGCAGAACCACCACCAGGCCAGAAAGAAGAGCGACAACAAAGCCAGCACCTACGGCATCAACTACCTGCTCTCCAGCTCCAACGCCAACGCCAACCACTTCTTTTCAGGGACACCGTGGAAGACGAGGAGATACAGCCCCGGTATTAATGGGTGAGCTCGGTCTCTTATCCCCCTCACCAAGACCGGACCCTGTTGGTCGGTGTGGAAGCCCATTCCCGCCGGATAGAGCAGAAACATCGACCATGTTGTGTTTTTTCGGAATGTATCTCGGAATGAAGACTTAAGTCAAAACCTCAACCTAATAAGATTAAATTATGCCAAAATAACGAGTTAAGATTTAAGCAAGTAAGGAATTCTGTTGGGATAATAAGTCATTATTTTGACTAAAGTCAAGATGTTGGAAACATAAGGCATGTCCAGATACTGAGTCAGTATGTGGAGAAAGTTAATTTTAGATACCAAGTCCAAATTTTGACACACTGCTGCTGGAAACACTTTTAGTCAATCTGAGCTCTTGTCACCAGATGCCGCTAGCAGCATTAATGCTTTAGCTTAACTTTCCCTTTAACCCTGCAGTATCTTAGCCAATGCAAAATGGATGTGCTTCAGCCTGAAATTCATGAGCAAGAAAGCCCACCTTGCAGTGAATCTTAGGTTGGGCTATTAATGACTAAGCACAACAGAGGCGTAAATAATCACTGCGACCCTGTTAAGTTGAAGTGTGTGGTATTCGTTAGAGGTTCCTCCGTCCTTCCTTCAGGGTGCTGAAGTTGTAGTTTCTGCTTTTCACCTTTACTGATTGTGAAGAGCGCCTCCTTCTGATCTGAAAGCCTTTTTGCCAGGCTAGGTGTGCTCGGCGCTCCTGTTCACCTGCCTCTGTCCTGTTCATTTCCCTCTAGGCTCCACGAAGAGATAGTGGACTTCTACAACTTCATGTCCCCGTGGCCGGAGGAAGAAGCAATGAGGAGAGATGTGGTGAATCGCATTGAGACTGTGATAAAAAGCCTGTGGCCTACAGCTAATGTGGGTAACACTGCTCGGGCCGATGCAATATGTTCATTTTGTTCCTAAGCTTCAGTAACTTTTGAGGGAGCTGCGGTTTTAACCTTCTTTTCAAATGGTTTGCAATAGTTTTAAGTTTGGTACAGAGATAAATAATTACTCCTTTTTTTCATGTGAAATTATGCTAAAGCTAGTACTGGGGTTTTCTTACTTGCACCTAAAAAAGGTTTTGTGGCAGATCTTTTAACAGTTTCTCATGGCTTGCTTTGCTTTTTCTCTGATACTGGGTGCAGTCTCTGATAATTACAGAAGGAGAACCTGTGTTTTCTCACAGTTGGGTGAGCCTTTAGCCTTGCCACTTCAAGCCTCTTGAAGCTAGATCAGCTAATAGAGATGGCATATCAGTAGCAAGAGTATTGGGCCGATATTGGCAGAAAAAGCTGGTTCGGATATGGAAGGGAAAACCATTTAATCTGATCCAGTCCTGTAACAGATCTAGACTGACATGGCTTGCTCTCACACTGTTTTTTAGCTGTGTATTTCTTTCTGTGGGGTTGTAGTGTGTTTGAGTAGTTTGAGCATGATCAGATCCATTTCAGTTGCTGTTTAAGGTGTCTGTATCTGTATCAGAAAATCCTGTGAGGTATTATGCCACCACTCTATGTGGCTTTGCAATGGTTTTGTAGGCCTCTCTCAGCTGAAGTGAAAAAGCACAAGAAAAAATGCTCCGCTTCAGCATTTGCCAGTGTGTTGTCTTAGAGCCACATGCACTTTAGCTTTTCTTCCAAAAGGATGCATCATGTGGTAGTTTTTCATCCTGTCCTGTTTTTAATGAGGTGCAGGGTTTCTGGTGATGCTTGTGCAAGCAGTCTGTGATTTAGATAACTGGTAGCATAGCAATTGCTGTAGAACTACAACCACAAGGTAGTAGGAGAGGTCTCGGCATTCTTTAACTTAACTCACTTTCTAAGCTTTCTAGCCAAAACTGCCTTTTTGTCAGATTTCAAATGTTCAGATCTGTTGGCTGTCAGAAATGAATAGTCTTTAAAATCTAATGTACATTTTCATTTTTTTATTCAGGTCCAAATTTATGGCAGTTTCCGTTATGGACTCTATCTCCCAACAAGGTGATGAACTGAATCTCATTTAAAATCTTGTTCATTTATATATATGTTGTTTTAAAGGACAGTTATTAGTAATCATCTCTTTCTTGGTTCTGACAGTGACATTGACCTGGTGGTGTTTGGGAACTGGGAGCGGCCTCCTCTGCAGCAGCTTGACCAGGCCTTTAGGCAGCAGGACTTTGTCGAGCCTTTCTCCATCAAAATACTGGATAAAGCTACAGTCAGTCTTCTGACTTTAAAATACTTCAGAAAGCTACACACTTAGGCCCTCTCAGTCCATGTTTGGTTGGCTCTGAAAAGCTCTGGTTTATTGCATTTACCTAATTTCAGTGTATTTCTTTGTACTTAGTAAAAGAACAGAAATCCCAGTTACTCAACACACTAATAATAGAAGCCCATCACCAGTTGCTTCAGCACTTCCGTTCTTTTTCTACGTACAGGGAACCACATCAAGCTTATTGTATGTCGTAATTGAAAGTCTACTACAGATATGGCAGTTTACCATAGAAATACAACACCGTTGTAAAGCTAATGGATGGGTGTCAGTCATTTTGATATTAACTGATCTTGATGCTTCTCCTCAGGTTCCTATAATTAAACTCACTGACAGAAAAACGGAGATGAAAGTTGACATCAGCTTTAATGTAGAAACTGGGGTCGACACTGCATGCTTTATTAAGGACAACTTGAAGGTAAGTTTTTACTTTTAGTCTAGAATAGAAGAAATTGTCTGGTGTATATTATGATATCTTTATATAAGAAGATGCATTGTCCTGTTTTTAGCTGGTGATGCTTAGCAAGCTTTTTGTTTCCTTGAAAAACCTAATTCCTCATGCAGCTTTTGTGAGTACTGATTATGAAGCATAGTTGCTCTTTAGAATTCAAAATATGCATCTGATGAATTTTTTTTTCTCTCTCTCTCTCTCTCTCTCTCTCTCTCTCTCTCTCTCTCTCTCTCTCTCTCTCTCTCTCTCTCTCTCAGAAATACTCAGTGCTGCCGTACCTGATATTTGTTTTGAAGCAGTTCCTACTGCAGAGAGATCTAAATGAAGTGTTCACTGGAGGCATCAGTTCCTACTGCCTCATTTTAATGGCTATCAGCTTCTTACAGGTGAGGGAGGAAAAAAATCCTGCCAAAATTGATTTATGGTGAATCTCAACTGCACATAGTTGTAAGCAAATACAAAGTCTGTATAGGGAAGTCTGTCCACTCGAAAAACACAAAACTGAAAGCCAAATTGTTTTATAAAGTCTCATCGTTTTGGCTCAGTAACGCACAAAAAAAGTTACAAGCTTTCCCATTCAGGGTCCAATCAGTGACCCAGCTCCTCCTTTATAACATCTGGGGTGAATATCCGACTGCGGCACTTTGACTGCCTTGCTGAGAAACTAAACGAAATTTCACCACTAAAGAATGGCTTAAATGGTTTTCATAGCCAAACAGTTTTGTTCTCGTGGTCAAAGGTAGATGGGACGCAACACTCAACATTGAAGGTGATGTTTGCCTACTTGTAGTTCTGTTCTGTCGTTCTCTTATTTAAATCTTTGTTGAAATTGTTGAAGCTCTGTTCTGGAAAACTACATAAACTACATAATGCATTGTGTCTATGTAGCACCTCTAATGCATTAATACACTCAAAGTGCTTACCAGCTACTGAAATGAAAGAAGATAAATTGAGAGAACAGAAGATGTAGGCAACCAAAGGATAACAGCAATGCAAATACGTAGATGACTCCTTTTTTTGGTCCTTGTCAGTACTCTGGCTACATAATTATGTGCAAGTTTGTAAATAGACAGTAAGCAACGACTTAGTTACCTAGTTTGGCAAATCAGTCTCCTGGAATCTTGAAGTGAAAATGTTTCTGATATGAAAGAATAGGGTTCTGGAGACCTTATTTATTTATTTATTTTTTTGCTGTGCTCTTTTCTGAATACTTTTTCCCAGATTAAAAACTCATTTAATTTTTAATGAGTGCTGGCAATTTGAGCCAGTGAGCTGCTAATGGTGGTGCTGCCTTTAACAGCATTCTTCCAATGACTATTTGCAAGATGAATATTACTATGCTTCTCATCCAGTCACAGCCATCTCTAAATGGTCTAATTGGCCAGAATTATTAGGAGATGGTTAAGAGGTGTTAGAGGAATGTATAACACCCGACACATGCTATCCTGATCGTCTGAAGGGTAGTACTGATTTTGTTACTGAAACTGTAAGTTGCATCATTTTAGTAAGAAATGTAATGATAAACATTAAGATCAGTTACCTAAATAAGTCAGCTTTTCTGCTGCTTAGCTGCTGTTAACTTGATAAATCAAGGACTCATGTTTGTGTTTAAGACATAAGTTAAATATAAATAGAAATGCACTTGTCATTCTTTGTATTGTATCATTAAAGTTTAAGACCTCATATAAAAATCCTCCTCAGTTGCTCTGAGTAGCTCCAATGTTAGCTTAGCATTAACTTGGGTGTTGGCTCATTTGAAGGGGTCACCATCTTGGCTCAAACCTCTTTCTTATCAAACATGAAAACCTACCGCTTTATCAGCCAGTCATATTTAAAAGACAGCTTTGTGAACAAGTAATCTGTGGTTTGTGAACCACTATTCTGTGGTTTAGATCAGTTTTTGAATAAAAGAATATTTTCTAATTGGTTAATCTTGGTAATGGCTAAAGCATGCTTTGAGCAGGTATGAACTGATGTGAGAATTGTGGGCTGATGTTGCTAACTGAAATTTTTCATTTACTTATCTGCTGACGCATAAACATTTATAAAATGTTGATTATAAAATTGGGTCTGGATCCACCATGGTTACTTTGAGGGTTACAAAGGCAGTAAAATTAATGACTTCTGACATGGTTGCAATAGCCTAGTATAGCCTAAATATTCAACTATCTGATTGTTTTTCTGATTTGTTTTTTTTTATGTAATTGTACTTATTTACATGCTTAATTGCTTATTTTATAGCACATATCTGCCAGTACCAATATGATTCCGATATTTATGCATCCCTGTCTTTAAATCCAGAAAATTCATTTTAAAACTTGATTTAGACCTTTATGTTTAGAATGACGTCCCCCCACCTCACTGTTCTGTGTTTCAGCTCCACCCCAGAATTGACTGCAAGGGCTCTAATATCAATCTAGGCATTTTGCTCATTGAGTTCTTTGAGTTGTACGGTCGGAATTTTAACTACCTGAAGACGGGCATCCGTGTGAAGAACGGAGGGGCGTACCTGGCCAAGGAAGAGATGATGAAAGCCATGACTAATGGATATAGACCCTCAATGCTGTGTATCGAGGACCCAAACGAAGAAGGTGTGTGTTTTCAAGTGTTTGGTTAAGAGTGCTGGATATTGAATTTCTTCTTGCCAAACAGAAATCTCCATTCCTGCATTAGCTTCTTCTGTAGTTATGTGCATGATAAGGGTTGTGGGCTTAATAGATTGTTGGTTCTCTTATGTACGTCTGTCTCAGGTAATGATGTAGGTCGCAGCTCTTACGGTGCCATGCAGGTTAAGCAGGTGTTCGACTACGCTTACATCGTCCTGAGTCACGCTGTCTCTCCCCTGGCCCGCTCCTATCCCAACAAAGACATGGACAGGTCAGTTTCTGCCCAACGGTTAAAGGTGAAATACAAGCATTTACCCGGATACAACAGTCTGGCTGAAACGCTGTAATAAGTAATATACAGGAGTGAAAAAAGTACAGAAAAAGCTAAGTATGGGAACTGAACAAAAATCTTACTCAATTAAAAATGTAATTATGGAGCTAAAAATGTACTTGAGTGAAAGTAAATAAGAATCTATAAAGTATATAAAAATAAGAGGCAAATGTTTTACCAAATACTTAAAACCCTTTTGATGTTATTTCTTTGTGCAGCAGTAAATCAGTTGTACTGATCCTCACACAAATATAACTTAGCATAGTTTTTAGCATAGTTGTTTGTTGTAAATTTCATTCAGTAAATCAAAATGAGTATTTAAATCATTTTGTACCAAGTTTTTAAAAAGACACATCCTGTTTACACTGTTCCCATTTTCTCAAATTTAATCAACCAGCCAGAACAGAAGTACTTGAGTATGCTGTTATCTGTAGAATAGAGGAGACAGGAATCAATTCAAGATGCCCAGCACTGTTTTTAAGTTAGCAATGTTTGATTTGTTTATTATTATTATTATCTGCCCTTTTATTTTTATATATATATATATATATATATATATATATATATATATATATATATATATATATATATATATATATATATATACACACACACACACACACACACACACACACACACAAATAAATAAATATATATACGCGTGCTCTAAACTACAGGTAAAACCACTCAGAACATGGCCAAGAACTAATAAGTGGTGATATTTAAAAATGTCAGTACTGATGAAGATGGTAGTTTCCACTCTGTTGTGGATAGAAATTCAGTAGTTGTGTGGAACAATCTTTAATGATCTTTAATGTTTTCCTTTAGCACACTAGGCCGGATAATCAGATTGACCCAGGAGGTGATTGAATACAGGGAGTCGATCATCAAGAGATGGAGAAACAGACACAATGCCAGAATAAACAGCTGTCGTGAGTTCACTTTTTATAAAATCGACTTGCAGGAAACATATTTCAGAAATTATTTAGTGGAAGTCGCAACCATCTCCTTTTTGGTTGTTTTCAAGTTAATTGGATAAAATAAGTTAAAATAAATAAAAAAAGATCTGAATTGTTGAGTTGGCTTTCTCTTTTTGCATTTCCACAGAATCACTGACTCCTCAGAAATGGCTTTGTATTAAAAGACTGTTTTAACTGTGTGTGTGTTGAACAGTTCCTCAGCTCGGAGGTGATTCAGAGGAGCAGCAGAGAGACTCCTCATCTCCTCAAAGTGCTGATTCCATCATGTCTCAGTCCAGCCCTCAGCAGCACTCATCATCGTCATCATCCTCATCCTCTTCTTCCTCTGTTTCCTCCTTGTCAGGAAGTGACATTGTAAGATTGCAGAGTTATTTTGTGAGGATCTTTTGTTTTTGATCTCATTGTTCTGCAGTCCTATCTTTGGTAACATTCACTAGAAATGTACGAGTCATAAATTATCATTTAATTCTGAATTTATTTATTTATTAGTTTTTTATATATACAGTCAAGTTTGCGGCGAGTTGATTTCTTTTACTAGTATCTTAGATTCATAATTTTTTATTTATTTATTTATTTTAACAGGGCCAATGCATATTAATCAGCATCATTGTTTCATAATGTAAATTTCCTAGATTTAGCCAGATGGCTATTTCTTTTGTCTGCGGTCCCTGGGCAGATTGGTAGTAAATATGGTATTTAAATTAAACAATGCATCTCAGAGGCAAAAAACAAAAATTGCAAGGCAACGTTAGAAAGTGCTTAGTAACGAAACACCTTAAACTACCAGCCAGCTTAAAAAGATACAAAATATATTTAATATAATTTAATGTTATGTTGTCAGAGTATCCAGTAACTTTTTAATTTATGTAATGGGCCATTGCTGCTCAAAGTCAGAAGGAAGAGAATTAGTCATGTGACGCATGGAAAGAAAATACAGATTGACCAGAAACAATTTTCCCTAATGCTGTTTTGCAGTCACCTTGTGTAATGGCCCTTGTCTTTCATTCATACATTTATTTTTTGTGTGTAAATGTGGACAGTTAGACATATAGCCATTCACACCTGGCATTTCCATGTGTGTCAAATGCATCTCCAATGACCACGTGATCTTTCGTTGCTGGAGGAAAGGGACCATCCACGTTTGTCAGCCTCTTGCGGCGTTTGTTGTAAAACAGAGGTTTCCATGTGACTCCCTGTTTGTATGAATTTAAGGACTGTTGCGACATATTCGATAAGCAATATAATAAATAGTGACTTTTTTTTTTAAACTAGAAGATACTGTGCTAATTATTTTCAGGTATCACCCAGGCCTACTTCATACTACAAAGGTTACGTGGTCATATGCGTCCCTGTCCATCCCTGAATGTGATTTGGATGAGTCACGATGTGTCTCGGACGCGTTGTACACCGTTCATACTTAAGAGGCAGCTTTTGCGTAAAGTACATTATATTTTGGTACAGGTGTAGCAGTTGCGTTTTAAATACAGCGCTAGGGCATGTGCCTAGCTCACTTTATTTACCTAGTAAAATTGCAATCTAAATAAAAATAAATGGACTCATTGCGTGGATAGAAAAGAAAAATCTGCTGATTCCAATCTTGGCAGATCATGCGTGTATAAACGGTCATGTAAGAGCAGTACTGTTCAGTTTGGGTTTTAAGTTCAGATCTAGTCTTTCTGCTCTGACTGTTCACATTGGTGTCAAGAATCATCAAGAGAGATGGTGTCTCTTTCCCTGATTTTTCCAGGACTCTGACTCAGTTCCATGTGGAACCAAGCAGCTTCAAGCTTTCCCAGAATCCACCTTGCCCAGCACACAGCAGAGGCCACAAAACAGGGCAAATCCATCTGAAACAGTTTCATCCTCCAATGGACAGGTAGGGCTACCACAGAGTTTCACAGCAATGGCTGGGGACAGCACTATCTCACTATGACCCTGAATCTGTCCAGCTGAATAGCATCTTGATTTGGTAACTTAGTAACAGACTTTTACCTGAAATATCCATTCACCTCTGAAGAGCTGCGCTGCTTAGGTGTAGATCTAAGATGTAAACCTAAAGGCCAGAAGATGTTCCTTTAGGTGCCCCTGCCCCACTTTGGCTCAGCAGTCCTGTCAAGAATACTTAGTTTCAAGGGATAATGAAGATGACGATATTAAAGTTTGTTTGTTGTGGCTGCAGTAATAGCAAAGGACATATTAGACTAAACTTTCTGGTTTAAAAAAAAAAATCATCTTTAAATCGGGGGTTGTTCCAAACTTTTGCAACTCATGACCCAAACAAGTGACTGCAAATCTTCCACAGCCCACAAGATTTACTCTGTCTGGTCGTGTCTTTCTGACTCGCCTAATAAGATAGCCGATGTTGTTTGACAGCCATCAACTTGGATGTCAGGCTGTGTTTTGGCTCCATTCGATTTTGGTTTAGAAATGTACACTAAGTTTAGTCTCAACGTGATGGTGTAAATTGTTTTGGCTTCAAAGCTTCATTTGACAAGAGCTCTAAACAAACAGCGGTAGCTGCTCATTTTCAGTTCCTGCGCGTGTAAAACCTGGCTCTAGCTACTCACTGCTTCGTTTCGTTTTGGTTTATCTCAGACTGACTACTTCGCTTGGACAAGCCTTGGGATCCTTCCTTTTGAAAGATCCTGATTTTAACCGTTTATACGTGATGGATGAATTCCAATCAGAAGGCGAATAGTTTTACATAGACTTGCACTGTAGATATAAACATAATTAGCTATGATTTAGTGAGCTTAATAGAAATATTTTATTTTTGTTATCACAGCAATATTTGTCATTTAAAATGACATTTGGGGGAATGTCTAATTTTGTCAGTTAAAAATAAATAAATAAAGACAGACAACGGCCGCCTAGCAGTACCATCACTGCACACTGGGCGGACTGCAGCCCACGAGTTGAAAAACACTGCTTTAAATGATGCGTGTGGTCAGTCTGACAAATTGTAATACATTTTAGGAAATGTATGAGCATGCTTTTGTGATGCAGCTTCTGTTTTATTGCATTGTAAAACACTGAAGAAGGCATAATAATGTTAAGTTATTTATTTAATAATATAATGATTAAATTTCAGATGTGTAAATAGTAAATGATGCATGATTGGTTATAGAAATCATTAATTCATGCTTAAAATCTTTCTTTCTTTCTTTCTTTCTTTCTCTCTCTCTCTCTCTCTCTCTCTCTCTCTCTCTCTCTCTCTCTCTCTCTCTCTCTCTCTCTCTCTCAGCTGCGAAAATCACTCCCTGCGAATGTGGTGGTGCCCTCGCTTTTGCCAGGGAGACCAGCATGTGTGGACGGGTGTGTTCCATTTAGTGCTGGTTACCGGCTGCCCTCCCCTGTCTACCTCAGCCCCCTTCCGGGCTCTCACCACCAGCACTACGCCAAGGTAAGGAGGCCTCTCTTACTTTAGCTGTTGCCTTAAGAACGTCATTTTGCTGGCTAGATCGGCTCTTTATTAGTTGCTTTTGTAGCTGGCCGTTGGATTAATAAAGAAATGAATCATTTTAGTTAGTGTGACGAGCTCAATGTACGCTGCTTGTCTTTTTGGTGTTTATCAGGCTTTTCATGTACACTGCTGTAGATTTACTTTAATTGAAAGCTGGCTTGTACATCAATTTGCAAAACCTTTTTGTGAAAAGTTGCAGGTGTTTTCAGTAATGTAATATGCAGCTGCCTTTGGGTATTCTGGCCTAAAACTAGAGTTTGATGTTATTTGTTGTATTATGAATGTAGTATTCTGTAGTGCAGAATTATTGGTTTGACAATTTATAATTTTGTTTTTTTTTGTTCATCAGTATTCTCTCATTGCAGTAGCCAGCATGCATTAAGCAAATACATCGCACAGTCATTGGGAATCTGTGTGGTGTCACCCAGTCCTGACTGTTAGCCTAGCCTGATCTGTAGGCTAATGAATACAACCAAGCTTCTATTCTATCCATATTCAGCCCTAAATTATTGCCAGAGAGAAGTTTTTTTAAATTTTTTTTTAATTAGTTTTTTTGGTCTAGGTTTTTTTTTGTTTTTTTTTCCCCCCCCTCAGGGAAAAGATGCCACTCTGAGGGCCACGTTGGTACCTTGCTTTCTAGCAGTCGGTGTTCCCTCTGCATTCACCAGATGACAGAAAGCAAACAAAATTCAAATCCATTTCAAAACGGCTCAAATCTTAAATGTACCACAAAGCAGATTTTCAAATGTTCCTGCCATCTTTACCATGCATCAGAAAAGGGTATTCCTGGTGTTTAAATTGGTAAATCTCAATCTAGAGACCACTTAACTCTAAGCTTTATGATGTGAGTAGGCTTGTTTACAACAGATGTAAACAGTGTGATGATTACATGCTCATTTTTGGCTGGAACACCTCTTTAACTGTTTACATCTTGCCGATCGAACAACAAAAGTTGTTACCAAGTGAGTGACACCCCTTGACGATGTGATTTAAATGTTTCAAATAGATGAATAAGTTCAAACTTGTGAAGGGATACTTTCTGAAGAGGTTCCTGTGCTTGTGTGCATTAATAGAGCTTTTTTCCCCCACTACCTCCAGTTTAATAATGGTCAGAGGTTCGGACTGAAGGGGCCGCTGCACACCAGCAGCTTTGAGCCTGGAGTAATGCCAGGACCCCGAGCTCTTCCTCCACAGCACAACCGCAACACTTGGCGCCGCCGCAGGAGGGACACAGCACCCTCCAGCCTTAGCAGATAGAGCCGGCACTTCTGCCGCAGGTCAAAGGTAGCACTTCCTTTATAGGTGGCCGCCAAACCCACTCCCTGCTCTCTGACGCACGTGGTCTTGATCTCCAGGTCACAGCGTGTGCATCTGACATGTGACTGCCTGTTTGGATGTACTTGTTTGTTTATACGTAATCACTGTTCACCTTTTTTCTTTTTTTTCTTTTTTTTTATTTTAATATTTGACCCTTCCTCCTCCACTTTTTTGTTTTTGTTTTGTTTTTTGTTTTGTTGTCTGGTGGCTGTAGTCTTTTACGTTTTGTAGAAGTTAAATTTGGGTTTCTGTTTGTGGTGCACACTAAACTTTTCAGCACAGCCAGGCTGTGCTTGGAATAATATTTAGTATAACTCTTGTGCAATATGGGTCTTTGTTTTAATTTGAAATTTTTAGTTCATTTTTTTAATTTAATGTTTGTCAAAGTTTACATTTTGTGTTCTGTAATGAATGTAAGACTGTGGTGAGGTTTATTTGATGTTCTTATGTGCATAACATTTTTAGCATGTTCAAATCCAAGCCATGAACATTTCCGTGAGCCGTGATTTGTGGTTTTGCGCATGCTAAAACCCTATTTATGTACTCGATTCCGCAAGACGTCCTCCCGATGCGCCGGCCTGCCATACGTGCATTTCAGCTTCCGCACCAGCAGATGGAGCCATTGTTCTTAAACTGCTCTGTGCCAAAATCCTATGGCTACTACAACCGGAGGCCTGATAGACCAAGTGTTCCTTATGTTATAGCCTACGTCTTGTCTTTTCACAGCCAGCAACGTACCAAATCGCTTTTCCTTGATTTTTATACTTGATTAATGTTGACTTTTTATTTTGGGTCGGATTTTTGACTCACTGCAATTCTTTGTGGCCAGCTGAATAGTTGGGTCAGGGCACGTTTCTGGGGTTAATTTAACCGTCTTGCTGAGGCCTCATTGTCACTTTTACTTTATCATTTGAGTCGCATCGAAGCTCGAGGGACACTAGGATGAAGCGAGCTTGTCCTTTAGTCCATTTGAAATCAGTGTATTTGTTTGTTTGTTTGTTTTTTTGTTTTTTCATTTTTTTTTATTATTATTATTTTTTTTTATATAAGGGATCTCCAAAAAAGGTTTGCTTGCCCAGAGGCAAGACTACTTAGTGATTCCGTTATGGAATCTTTCTCTGTCGGCTTCTCGTTCTGTCGAGCAATGCAAGTACACAAACAAATGACCAACAGTGTAATCTTTTTGCTTCCTTTTTTAATTTTTGGGTAGAAACTGCCAAAAGTATGGCTTGCAGTTTTATTATGACTTCTGTAAAATTCTCTAGAGACAATTCTTCCAAATGAACAGACTTTGTTGATGGCGCAGCTTGTTCCAGTGCCAAATTTTAGCGCATCAGTCTACTTCCAAACTTCTAGGCCAGTTAGATCCAGCACCGTGCAGTATTTCTACCAGTGTTCTATGCAAAGTGTATTTTGATATTTATTTGCTTACAGAGGCAAGTTGTCATTGCCAATTTGTCATTTACCTATACTCATGCCACTATAATAGTAAGCACTCTGGTACAGGATGGTAAAAGTGATCTTTAGCTCAATGGTGGGATCATGTACTGTTCACTTTTTTCTTTTTTTAAAATACTAAAGGAACTTTAACTGTGTCCTGCCAAATATTCCATGGAGCACTCAATTTTATTTTTTATTTACGTTCATCCCAAAGACCATCTTAAAGTATGCCCAGCTGTGTAACACATTTTCAGCTGTTTGTCTCTAGCACCCCCAAAAGTGGCTTCCTCATTGACCTTGGTACATATACAGTGCTGGAGAATTACCAAAAGGAGAATCCTGCTTTGCACTCCATGGACTTGGGAAGGGGACATGGCTGAGCACATGGATAATTCTGTCAGTCTTTACTTCAGCCACGTTCCCACTGAATGAAAATGGTGTCCACGTGGGCCAAATACATGTCATCTTCAAAAAGGTGACATTTGAATGTAACCTGAAGTAAATAAGGTTTTGGTGGGGGGGGGGAGTTTTTGCCTTTTTTTGTCCCTGGATATTTTTATGTAAAGTTTTTTCTACAGATTATTTTTAAAATAAATATCTTAAAAGACTGACTATTGTGTTTACTTATTGGCTTCTTTTTTGTTTCACTCCTTATTGCCCCCCACACCTCCATTGAAGTTAGCATTTTTCAATCACACAGTCTCAGCTAATCCAAAATCTGCTTGTGGATATTTTACACTTCCCAGGACCCAGTTCCTGTAGCTTCTGGTATAGTCCTGTTTGCCCTGATGAGAACAAAGTCTCGCCTTGATCCAGGAAGCAAAAGCTGTGAAGGCCCTGTCCTGCTGATCCTCTTCGTTCCACTTGGAGGCGCTCTTGCATCACCATCATTAAGCCCTTTCCCGTGAGCAACCTCTTGCATCTCAACCCCATTACTCATGCCATTAAAAAGCACCATTTCCTATTTGTCCAAACTGCAATTACAGTACCAACGTAGTCGATCCCTTGAGATGGTTCTAGTCTTCTGTGAAGTTGCGTTAAGATTAAGTATCTTAAAGGGTTCTATGTACCACTTTACCGGCACTGCTTCATTTGCTTTTGGGTCCCACTCTGGACCAGCACTTATCTGCAGTATATTGCTTAATGCTGCACTTGTTCCTCTGCAGCTGCATCAATAGAAGGCTAATCATTGATCACAGCATTTGGAGCCCTGTCCTGCATTCACATGGTGTCTCAGCAGTGAGGACAACTATGGCGGAAGCCACAGAGAAGCTGGGTAGGGAAAATCTGATTGGACCCTTAAATGTCCCTCTCCTGTCATTCACTACCTGCAGGTGAGGAGTGATATTTAAAAAATCTCTGCATCTGTTGCATCATCAGAAATTACCACAGAATCGCTGCAGTGGTCTTCTGCTGGACTTCAATTTAAACATTAACAGAATCCATTGTGACTAGCAAAAATGGCTGTTTTTCAGCATTACGCAGCTGCCAACAAGAGAGCGACAGGGTATATAAAAAACAGTGACACATTCATACTCAATGTAAGTTGTAGTCAGAATCAGCAGAGATCAGTGTCTCTCTCTCTCTCTCTCTCTCTCTATCTATATCTATCGATCTATATCTCTCTCTCTCTCTATATATATATATATATATATATATATATATATATAAAAATTTGCCCTCACCCACTTTGACTCACCACTTGGATATGTCACACATAATCGGCTAGCTTAGCTAATCGGAAAGCCATGCAGACTTCTTTTCTGTAAAGTTTGGTCATAACCTCCATAACGTCTGTGAGTAATTGCGTTGTTTCCCTGTTCATATTTTTGTTATTAGCCATGTAGCCTTTAGCATGCTAACCAGCCTGCTAGCAGAGGAAAGCGATGCAATTGTATCAGCAGTCATGTAAAATAGCTAGCTTAGCTAATCGGATGGCCATTTGCTGGGCTTTTTGTAACTTAAAGCCCAGCAAATCGAATGCCTTCGTTTTGAAATATAAAGCATTTAAAGTACTTTTCTGCTATTGCTTACAAACGGCTGTGATAAGGGAAATGTGTCGGTTAGGCAAAGATTTCTGGGCAAGTTCTGCTGCTGAATGATCTGCTCATATCCAGTGCACTCTTACAATCTCAACATGTACCACAGTACCTGGTCTTTGTGTACGAAGTATCAAATGTGACAGAACGGTGAGCAATGATGAAAAAATTCTGTTCCTATTTATGTTATATAGAGTTGATGGTTTTCCAGTATATGGAACAGTGTTTGAGGCTAATTTCGAGTATAGCGCGAGAGTTCAGTACAGGCAGCTAAGGAGCACGGCATGCAGTCGCAGGCTTATCAGCGATGGGTGAGGAAAATCTGCTTATAAAGGTCATACACGAAGCCTTCATGTACTAACAAATGAAGGCTGTCTCGGAGGGTGTGAAGGTAGGCCTGAGGGAGCATCTGGGGGAATTTTACAGGCACGTAGCTGGGAACAAATGGGGAGTGAAAGCTCAGATGAGGTCTGGGAATGAGCACAAAACCAATTTCATTTTGAAGGTCGCCTACTAGATCTCTCCCTCTTGCTGACCGCTCTGCGTTCAGTACTGGATGCAGTAATGCTGACCAAGGTGAGAAAGCAAGAGTATTAGAGTATTTTAACAGGTCGATTCTCAAGTTTAAAACACGTGTTGCTTTCTAAGCAAGTAGGCAATTAGAAGTTTCAGCACAACCACTGCACCTTGAACTAAGCATTTATAATGTTTTTCAGTTGACACAATTCAGCTGAGAGATTGTGTACAGGAAGTTAAGAGCTTTGGCAAAAAAGACTAAAAACTGACCTAGTAAAAACTCTTAACTGCACCAGTTACTTTGATTCACTCCACTCGTGTTCACAAATTTCTCCTTAAACATTCTAATATTTTGGGCACTGAAGAATTAAGTTTTCTCACTAGATATTATTTAAAATGTTTAATTCCATCAAGGTAAAAGGTTCTTCAGGTAGAGGAAGTCTGTGATTTTCTTACTCTGGCTTGTTGTAAGTGGATTACTGCACAGTGTACAGTGCAACAGTTCTGTAAGACATTTGGCTTCATCAGACAACTGAAATATCAGTTTGGATTTTTTGCCAAAAAATCAAATTTACACTTTGAATTTTACCCCAAATGTAGTCAATAAATCAAGACATGTTTGATGTCTGAGGTTTACTTCTTTAGTTTTGTCCTGGAGCTACAAGGCTAATGTAGCCAAGAAGTAATGGAAGCTTAAACAATGCCTAAATCATGACACCCTTGCATCAAACTGTGTTGAGTTGTTAAGTAATCATACACAGATTGCTTTGTGGTTTCTAACACTATCTGACTTTTGGTTATCTGTAGAAGTAGTCAAAAGTACCTCACATAGCTAACAGTAGTGGCAGCCATTTTGAGGGCTGAATTTTCTTTGCTTTTGTCCATTTTTATAGACACTTGTGTAATAAAATGTCAAACCACAAAAGTAAGTCTATTTGAGAGTAACAACACAATATTGATTAGTGGGTTATAAACTTCCAGAGGCATAAAAAATTGGACTTGAGTCATAGATTTGATTACTTCTGATTAGACTTGCAACTCAACATTGATTTTAACACCACTGACTCAGATTTGGACTTTGACTTTATGAATTAAAAAAGATCGACCCCTCCACAAGCTTTTTTGTCATATTATTAAGAACTTCCACAAGCCATGTATTTTATTATACAGCAGTATTTAACATAGAAACCTTCGCTTTGTGAAGTAGCCTTTTTTTATCCAATTACCACTAGTATGGAAATGCTAATTTTGCTAGCACTTCTGTTGTTTTGGCTATGTTATGTTAGAGCCAAGCTAGCAGTGATGTACATTCTTTTTTTTTTGTTGTTGTTGTTTTTGCTTTAACAATATTTTTAACAATATTTGTCTTATTTAAACAGACATTTGAAGCTTGTTAGACATGCATGTTAAATATTGTTTACTTATTTTCAGTTAATCCTAAGTAAAGTAGTTAAACTTAAAGTCAACTTAAAGCCTTACTGAATATTATTGGAGGAACCAAGTAGCATTCTCTGCTGTTCTGTGTCACAGGCCCAGTCAAAAACCTTGGTCAAGCTTTCAGTCCATGGAAGAGATTTCTCCAGATCCCTTGAATTTTTTGATGCTGATATGCCTCCAGAGTGAAATACTTAAATTCCTTGCTATCACTTGCTGAGGAATGTTGCTCCTGTCCCAACTTTTTTTGGAATGTGTTCAATTTCAATTTTCAGAATTTGTGTAAATTTTAAATATTAAAAAAAAAAACAATGAAGTTCATTAAATATTTTGTCTTTGTACTGCTTTGATTTAAATGCAGGTCAAAGTGGATTTACAAATCAGTGCTTTCTGTTTTTATTTACATTTCACATACTGTCCAAACTTTTTTGGAATTGGGTTTATAAAATGCTCTTTTACTAAAATGGATTTTAAAAGGCTAAATCAACACAAATGTCTACTTCTGCACATCAAGTCATCGAAGGTAAGATTTAAATGGTCCATAAACATTTTTATGCCCACTGTGGCAGTAGGCTTTAGCATAAGATGCTTGACTGTTTAGGTTTTAAGGTTTGCTGGTGTTTTTCATCAGCTTTGCTCAACCGACTGAATGTAACTTGGTTATGTGGGCTTCTCGGGGTATACATTTTCACAAACAGACACATGCTTTTTAGTGAAGGGTGTTCCAGTGTTGGTTGGGTTTATGGGAAGCCTGCACTCCTGTTAATGTGTACAAAGTCTTGTTAAAGACTATAGCCAGATAGCATGTTTGGAAAATGTATAAAATGTATCTTGGAAAAAAATTTATTTTGGGCCCCCAAGAGAGCTTGTCCGATGAAAGTCTGATGCTGGGGCTGCACAGGCCTGTCGGAGAAACCAGCTTTAAGTAGCCAACGCTTTTAAAAGGTGCCAAGCGCTCCTTGTAGAGATACCATAGAACTACTTTGGTTCCCAAAAGAACCTTTCAGTGAATATTCTTTTTATTTTTTCTCATTTTCCTAAATGAAGCATGTGAGTTTTTAGAAGTTTCAAGATCCTCAACAGAATGTAAGGCTTCTTTACCAATTAAAGCATTTTCCTAGGACTGTACATCCAAACCAAGAACTATTTAGGAGCATTTATTTTTAAGCCTGTACTCTGAAAGAAGACATTGGTATCACATTCTGATTACCAGGCACTGAATCATGGTCAAGAATAACTGGCAGCGGAAGCTTCATTAGAAAGCTAAAGCAGAAAGCTAAAGTTGAGTCTTAACAGGAATGCTGTAAATAGCCTTTTGCAGCCTGGCGCGCCAGACCGTCTAACAAAGCAGCGAATTTGCTTTCTGGTATCTTCTGGTGCTTCGACTGAAGTTGTCAGAGAACTAACACTCATGATACCTTTTAAGAGGTTCATGAAGTCGTCTTTCCTACCTGTATGCTCACTCTTTGCCCTGTGTGGAGGGTAGAGCAACCCACACTCAAGTCAAAGTATTCTTTCTCCTTTGACATTGACCATTTAAATGAAAGCAAAAAATAGCCCAGCAGAAACAACTTGAGTAGGAGTAAACAAGGATCAGGTCCAAAAAATCCTTGAGTGCTGAGTTTCCTATAGA